GACCTGGTCCCACTATCGGTTGCTGGGTGATTTCGAGGATCCACGAAGTGACGGTGAGTGCTCCTCCTTTGGGTTACGTGGTGCTCTGGGGGGTCTCGAACTTCTGTAGGGTTGTGGAGACCTTTGATCTAATATCCGCAAATTGTTTTGATCCACTTTCAGGCTTTGAAGAAGGCGATATCGCCGAAACGTTAGCAAATAAGTTTTCATAACAACCTCGTGGGAGTTCCAAGCAAGATCAACATCAATTCGCAACAATGCCGAGGTTTATAGAAGCCAGAACGTGGAGACAAATTAATAGGCTTCTCTTATTGAAGAAGGAATCTGGCTAGTTTTAATGAGGAGGAAATGGAAGGGGGAGGGACATGAAAGAGGAGGAATTGCGAGTTTTTTTTTGCAAAGCTTGTCTTTCAATGCATGGGGCCCTGGCAAACTCCAACTATTACTTGTGTGAGTCAGGCTTACTAGTCTCCAGAAAAGTTCCATTTGATTGAAAGCTACTCTTTTTCTATACCTGCCACTCATCCTATTCTAATACATGTATTGCCTGAAATTACAGTGTTCTCGCTACTTACGGAGGCCTATCGGAGTGAATTTGCGATTGTGTGTCAGTCTGACTGCGTCAGACGCTCTCTGCGCTTTCTTCTATATTCTAACCTATATGATAAATGTAATCCTGCCAAATCTACTCTCAAATTGTTGGTCGCTACTTCTCGAGGTACATTTGAATTGGTACTACAGAATCACTTTACAATATGTTCACTGGAAGACTGAAACCTTCAGGCTAACGTTTTGACTTCAGGTATTCAAGTTGGCCACATTTTTTGCATCAGTATTCACCCTGTTGGCATTGGCATTGAACCACTACATTGGAATTGTTCATCCATTACATCGGTACGCTCCATAGCTCAATCTAGCAAGTTCTCAAATATTATACATGTAGGTCATGGAACAATGCCTAGATCAATCCCTACAGGTCGCGCTATACGGTAAACTTTCACTTGGCTCAGAATCACTGCGTTTCATTGTTTTTCCTTTGCATTCGAACACTTCACAGCCCCACCTAGCAAGCAAGGATGATGTGAGAGCGCCGTAAATATTATGAATGCATACTTAATCAGTCTCAAACAGAATGTCCATGCGCTGACCTTCAACTTAGCATCTTCAAGCTTTTTGCTTAGCCCATAGCATAAACTTTTAAGACATTGCACTTGCATGCCGCATATGTTAAATATTATATAAATTAATAATTTTAAATAGGCGCTGCAGTGGACGCAGTGCGTCAGTACTTTCGAAATGCGATTCAAGCTGTCGTATCCATACCTCTAGTTCAGCTCTTGGATGCATACGATTCCCTTAATAATCGTCGGTATGTGTCAAATATCAGCCATCGCTGAAAAAATGAAAGTATTGGGTCTCTCAAATTATGATGTAGGTTGTAAAAAAGTTGTTGCCGTTTCCGCGCAGGCGCCAAATAAATTCAAAATTTGGCGGCTGTCGAATTATATCAATCGAAGTATTGTGCTTTTTAAGTAAGCCAGTAGTTGTTCTTCCTGTCAGAGCGCTTTTTCCGGAGTTCTGAAAGGTTTATGCAATCTTTTAGACACTCTTTTTGTAGAATGGATAAGACTGCTTTCTGAACGGTTTTACACCATGAGTTCTTGCTTGGCCGCACTGCGAAGGAGGCAGCCACAAACACAAACGTTGCATAGGGAGAATGCACCGCATCGAAGCAAAAGTTTCTTCCCTGACTTTAGAAGTCTAGAAATGGAGACGAGTCACTGGAAGAAAACGAGCGAGTTGGTCGACCATCGTTAGTTGATCACGATGTTCTGCAAAGAGCTGTCAGAAAAAATAGATGTCAAAATTAAAAAGAATATGCCAAAGAGATGGGCGTCTCCCTTACAGTCGTCGCTGACCGTCTCTTACAGTCCCTTACAGTCGTCGCTGTCCACAAGCAGCTTGTAGCGAAGAAACTTGACAAGTGGTTGACACCCCAACTCACCAACTCACTTAGCAGCAGCAACTAAAAGTAAAAATTCAGAGATTTCAACTTTGCTGTGAGGAAGGGGTGGTGTTGAGTCGTTCACTGTAACGTGTGATGAGAATGGATCTCATATGACAGCAGATGTAGACAAGCCTCTCATAAGTTTATCCTACTATATATAACGCGCTAAGTGTGTCTGTTGGTTTGTCTGTCTGTCTGTCTGTCTGTGTGTTTGACCGGAAATTCATAACTCCAGTTCCCGTCGACCTAGAAAGTTCAAATTTGGTAGGAGTACAGGGGCAGAATGGGAACACTAATGGTGGGTGGCGGGGCCGGACCCCGCCCACAGGGGGTGGGGTTTGTGCGAAATAAAAGTTTGAGCGGAAAGTCATAACTTCTTTCCCCGTATACCTAGACCGTCCAAATTTAGTAGAAGAACCTAAGATAGGATGGGAACGCTTATAATGGGTGGCAGGATTGAGCTCCGCCCACAATGGGCGGGGGTTTGGGCAGAAATTCATAACTCCTGTCCCTGTGGACTTAAAGCGCTCAAGCTTGGTAGGAGTTTAGGGTGCAGCACGAGAACACTTACGGTGGGTGGCGGGGTCGGACTTCGCCTACAGGGGGCGGGGCTTCTGCGGAAAATCATAACTGCAGTCCCCGTGGACCGAGAGCGTTCAAATTTGGTAGGAGCACCCAAGATAGGATGGGAACGCTCATAATGGGTGGAAGGGTTGAGCTATGTCCACAAGGGGCGGAGTTTGTGTGAAAAACTTAAACTTTGACCTAGAGCGTTCAAATTTGGTAAGAGAACAGGAGGCATGATGAGAACACTTATGGTGGATGGCGGGGCCGGACTCCACCCACAGGGGGCGGGGTTTGTGTCAAAAAGTTAAACTTGGGTCTAGGGCGTTCAAATTTGGTAGGAGAACAGGTGGCATGATGAGAACACTTATGGCCGCTGGCAGGGCCGGACTCCGCCCACAAGGGGCGGGATTTGGGCAGAAATTCGTAACTCCTGTCCCTGTGAACCTAAAAAGTTCAAATTTGTCATGAGCCCAGGCGGCAGGATGGGAACACTTATGGTGAGTGGCAGGACCGGACTCTATCCACAACGGGTGGGCTTTGAGCGGAAAATCATAACTCCTCCAGGGGGCGGGGCTTGGAGAGAAATGTCAAAATGGACCTAGGGCGACCAAACTCTGTAGGAATACAGGAGGCAGGATATGTACACTGATGATAGGTTGCAAGACTAAATTCCGCCCCAAAGGGCTGGGCGTGACTAAATACTGTTAGTTCGGACCCAGACCGTTGAAACTTGGAGGCACATGGAGTATACTGGGAATATTGATGGTAGCTAACATAGTAGACTCAGCCGCGACGAAGTCTCTGAATACTTTTCTTTCTTTGAATAAGCGCCTTTGTGATATTATGCGATGTTCTATTCGGACACAGCAAAAATGGCTCACAGAAAAAGATCGCTCTTAATTCGGAGCTGATACTGAGGGTGTAGAGCTTCCAAAGAAAAAGAGAAACCGAAGTGTTATTAACGCATAGCAAATTTCTCACAGGAAGAGGAGCACCCGGCGTAGCCGGGCGAGCCCGTAATAAGGAGAGAAGCCCGGCGTCAGCCGGGCGGCTCGACTGGTAAGTATATAAGTTTATAAGTTTATAAGTTTATTACGCTTGCAGAAGGCAAACGTGACAAGGAAAACAAGGCGCATTGTAAACATCGAACATTTGTACATGCAACCAATTCGCAATACAAAGATAAATTAGTTAGTTAATCAGTCTCAGGAAACGTTAGGACCAGTCCCTTCAGTAGCAGCTCACCCACTTGGCATTTGAACTAAGCTAGCGATAAAGAGACCGGTATATTTTTCACCACTCTCAGATGATCACTGCCAGCCCTGAAGGTAAAGCTACCGCTCGCAAGTTAAGGACGTGCCAAGGAAATTTTCATGGAGCTACTCCTAATCCTCGAGTGTGTCAGCTTGAAGACATTGGAACCGTAACCACACGTGCCGTGTACAAGTTTGTGAACCATGCAAAGATCGAAAGCCCTGCGTCGCGTTTCTAAAGATGTCGGTCCAAGATACTGATTCCTGATAGCAGACTTTGGTATTCTGAAAACCACCGACTCGAATGAGCAGCCTACGAGTAAATTTATTCTGAACCTTTTCAAGCGCGTAGACATGCTTCCTTTTCTTGCTGTTGAAAACCCTAGTGCTGGATTCGACCAGAGGTCGCACTTACGACTTGTAAGCACAACAGGGCTCCTTTATTAGCTAAAGACAGCCCTTTGAAAATTTGTAATGTCCGAAGATCGGCGACTCTGATTCTCGTATTAATGTGCTCCGTGAAGTCCAGATTGTCGATGTAGTAGAAGACGAGGTCTCTGACGGATTGCACAGCAGAGAGAAGGACACCACCAATAGTGTGCATTCGCGTGGTGAAGTACAAGAACGTAGTCGCATGTACACTGTCTTGTGTGGCGCTATAGGCAGTTGCCGATTCTTCCACCAACTCACCGTTAGATGGATTACTCTTTGGAGTTCCTGAGAGTCTGCTTCTACTGAGATTGCCTTGTAGATTTTTATGTCGTCGGCATACACCTTTGGAGTGACGCCTGCTTCACGACGCATTTCGGGAAGCTCAGCCGTGAAAACATTGAAAAACACCGGTGACGGTACACGTCCTTGGGGCACAGCACTCATTACCCGCGGGACTTTCGAAAAGGACTGACCGATCTTGACTTGTAACGTTCTGTTGCTCAGATACTCTGAGATCCAATTCGTAATGATCGGGAGGAATTTCAAAGCCTTCAGCTTTATGATCAGTTTCTTGCGCGAAGCTACATCGAAAAGCTTTGGCAAAGTCAAAGTAAATGACGTCGCGGCAAGCTTTTCGTCAAGAGCATCTGCCCCATCGTCCAGGCACTCAATCATACTTGCTTCAACAAAAAGCCTCTTGAAGCTTTCTCCAAGTTAACGCACCAAGAAGACAATGATCACACTTTGGTGGCCTATTCATGGCTTAGTCCACTACTCGTTTCTTCGCCCAGGTCACACCATCACCGCAGTCCTACTGTGATAAAGTTGACGAGATTTACATGAAACTGTTGAGAATGCAGCCAGCACTAACGGATCGCAATGGTCCAGCGTTTTTGCGCACGACAATGCGACCACATGTGTCACAAAATCGTGTCCCAGAAGTTAAACGAATTACAGATCGGAGCTCTCCATCATGCACCCTACTCACCAGACCTGTCACCATTGACCTTCATTTCTTCAAACCTTCGGACAGCTTCTCAAGGGTTCAGGGATTCGACAATCAAGGCAACGGGGAAGCTGCCCCTGTCGAATTCATGGAATCCAGACCACCGCACTTCAATAAAAATGGAATGAGCAAACATTTATCACGTTGGCAAAAATGTGTAGATTCGAATGGGACTAGTTTCGAATGAAAATGTTTGCTTAGAGATGAGTTGTGATCTTTTGAGAATTAGCTGTCAAAACGGCAAGAATTTTTCTTACAGCCTGAAAACTCCTAGACATACTTGTCCGAGCGTAGAATTTAAATTTTCAGACATGTCATCACACCCCGAAGCGTTCGTTGTGCAATAGCTCTAGCCTACCTCGTGCCTTCAACAGTGTTCCTTGTAATGTTCTGCACAGTACCAGGAGGTTTTCGAGCGCCGGTTGCATTCGCCTTTTTCTCCAAGGATGGGTGCAATGGTGGCGGAATACTCAGTGAGTTGGGCTGGATCTTCCGTATTATCTCAATAATATATCTCTCATATATTGTGAAAGCCGCTCTCAAAGCTCGAAATATGCAGCACTCATGCAGCAGCACTCAATCTGTGAGGCGTGATGGGAACGCTCGACTGGAGCACACATATTGCCCACCACTACTTTATGGGCATTGGCCCACAAAGTAGGTAAGGAGTAGAAAAGGGGTCAAAGTAGTTGAATTGCACTTCAGAAAAGATACAAGTCGTCCTTTAAATATGTACGTCGTCATATTAAACTCTATATGCATGCGCTCGGCAAGTAAGCACCAAACTTTCTAAAGAATCGCATAAGAACACGTTTCATATCTTCAGAACAAGAAGACACTGTTTCAGGAAATATCATGGTGCGATGGGTACTGGTAGCACCATTTATACTGTTTGTACTGCTCATATCATTTCTCTACCTACACATTCTCGTTCATATGCATAAGGTCTCAAAGGACCCTCTGCTGAAGGCGCAAAAAACTAAACGAACGACAAATCGTAAGCTGCTTGTCACTATCATGCTTTTGGCCGGATCAGCTTGCCTCGGTAAGTTTTGTGAGTAGAAGTTTCGCGCATCTATCTTATACCTTCACTTTGAAGTGTTGAGAATTATAGCGCCCCTAAGCGGTGTGCATGAAAGGGTTTCTTCTTATTAAAAAGGAACGTTTGTAAGAGCTCACTAAGCTGAGAGACTGACTGAAATTAATTCTATTGACTTTAGACTTTTATTCTCTAGTATTGCCTGTTGTTATCACTGGAAGGTTTGAATTCTTTGATGAACATTATATCTTATGAAGGTGTTGATAAAGTACGCTAAATCTCATAACCAACTGAATAGAACGGAGCGGTATCAGTGTCTCATCTCAACAACAAGTGCTTCTGTTCTCGATTACGTCTTGGTGAATCAGGGCTTGAATGAGCGAAATCTAGTGATAATCAATCATCGTATACCGCTGCTTTGTGATGTTCTTACAGGTTGGTTGCCAACGACCGTACTCTTCGTTCTGACTTGCGACAGCTGTCTATTTCAACTTCCATTACGAGCGACTATGTATCTTCGGTACGAACAGGTTGATCATCCGCCATTACAACAGTTTTAAACATGTATTACAGAATTCTGAGCCATTTGCTCAATGTGTTGAAGTTGGTTGCCGACGCTTTTATCTACGCTAGGCGTTTAGTTGAGATTCGTTACGCTATGTGGACGTTTCGCGCGAGCATATGTGTGAAATTCGATGGTAAGCTATACATACTCTGGAGTCGGTGTTGCCATTGTTGTCACACAGACATTAAACCTTGCTTCATCAGTCTCTTGTGATTCCTGTTTAAGCGACTCCTCTGGCCAATATGCATTATAATTCTTAGGCAGAGATGGACATACGTCGCGGTGTTATTATAGGGTGTTCATGAAGTTCGTTGGCCATTTGTAAACAACGTCGTGTTACGCAACGCGTCGTGATTGTCATAATGATTTCGCAATACTGAAAGTACTTGCGATGGACTATCTTCTGAGCTAGCTAGCTCTAGATTTCCTTTCCTGCTATTCCCACAATAAAGCAGTGAAGATGAGTGATAATCACCACCACCGCCGATGTTTGATGGACTACTACAACCTGGGCATCTCCAGACATCAGGCCATGACCCGGCAACCTCAGACTCAGAGGCCTGATGAAGATTTTGGACTCGCTCATTCGCCAAGATGAGAAGTGGGTCCACTACTCTAATCCTGCCAGCAAACCAATCTGGTTGCATTTCGATGATGGAAGAGGCCCTCTCTAGAGGAGACCCTCTCTAAAGAATTGCAGGAGGTCAAGGTGAAAGCTGCCGCCTTCTCCCAGACACTTGCAAATCCGTGGTTGCTCTGGGACAATGCGCGCTCCCACAGAGCGAGAGACACTCAGGCCGTCCTGGACAGGCTGGGCACCAAGACGGTCACGCATCCACCGTATAGACTACCACATCTTCCGATCCATGCAAGCTTGGAGGAAAAACAGCTGAAGAACGAGCTCGACCTCGTGGACGTGATCGAGGGGTGGGCCGAGTCGCGGCTGACCGGCTTTTGAGAGGATGGAGTTGCCTCTCTACCCGACCGTTGGCGAAAGGTGGTGGGTATGCGATTATATCATGGACCACTAAGGTAACTTGGTGAGTTATCTTTATAAGTTCTGAAAAAACGAATGGCCAACGAACTTTATGGACGCCCCCACCCCCCGGTCAGAGGTCGAGTTTTGGCGCAAACTTTATTAGAACAGAGACCCCCTTATCATCAGTGTCGACAAATTGGTACAAACTTCAGCAGGGAAGCTTGAAAATGGTACTTGGGACTTGTTCCACAGAACTTATTGTGTAGGACGAATACACACGCATTTTCAGATGATCTCGTTGAGCCTGGATGGAAGTCAAATGTAGGAGCATTGCAGGACAGGGTAGAAGATGAGAACAGAGTGACCTTTACTACAGTTTGTTTGAGTCAACAAATGTGACCAATTAGAGCAGTTGACGAGCTTTGGCGCCACTCCACTTTTGAGATCATATAACGTATAAACAAGCAGTCTCCTCAAATGCGCAGTTCCCGATGAATTCGAGGAACCTATTTTAGGTCAAATAATGGAAGTGGTACGGAATAATACACCGGTGGCAGAGAAAACGCAAATTCAGAGCGTTTAGAAATATAAGACTTTCAAAAAGTAGTGAAAGTAAAGGCTGTATAAATTTATTACGACGAAAGAGGGGTATGGGTGCATTGGTGCTTCCGGAGATGCACGCGGCAAATCGCGCGGCGAAAATCGTGACTCTGGCTTCATCACTGAGAGATAAAGCCTGTTCACAAAACAAGACGAGTTCCTAGTTTAAGGTGATCATAAGCAAGCGCATCGATTTGATCGATACAAGAAAGTTATATGAATATTGATCACCTGTATCACCTGTCGCCCCATTGATCATCGACTTCCTCGAGCGGGCGCCAGTAACGTCTCCATTCGTCCCTGTCACGAGCCAGAGAGGTCCAGTGAATCGTTCTCGCTTCAGGGGCACGAGGTTCAACATACCTTTCGTTCTGAGCTCTCGTGAAGAAGTCTGACCATTTCGTTGGCGGCCTTCGTGCAGTTCGTTTGATGTTCCGAGGTATCCAGGCAGTAACCGCCCTGGTCCAACGGTCATCACTATATCGCATAACGTGTCCGGCCCACCTGATCTTCGATTTCTTGGCGTGATCAACGGCATCCCTGATCTTCGTTCGGTGACGGAGCTCGGAACTCCGGATTCCCTTCTGCACTTGCGTGTATAGAGAAATTCCGAGCATCGTCCTCTCCAAAGCGCGTTCAGTAACGCTGCCAGCATGCTCGTCCTGCTTTCGTAGAGTCCAAGTCTCCGAGGCGTACGTCAGAGCAGGAAGGACAGCAGTGTCGAAAAGGTGAGCGCGGAGCCGGATGTTCTTTGTCTTCTTCACTACTTCCTCAATACTCTTAAATGCTCCCCACGCGGCGCGTTTCCTTCTGCACAGCTCTGGAGCTAGGTCGTTCATCATGTTGACTTCCCGACCTAGATACACATATCTAGAGCATTCGGAGATATTCGTTCCGTTTAACGTGAAAGGAGCATCAGGTACCAATCCATTTCTCATGAACATCGTCTTCGTTAGGTTCAGCCTCAAGCCGATCTTTCCACAAGCACTATCNAGATCTTCTTTTATCGCTTCTCTGCATAGCTTCGCAAGTTCGGACAATTGTTGATAATTGCCTGTAGCTCGCGCGATTCCACGCTGGCGTATCAGCTCGAAAGTCTTCGAAGAGAGTCGTCTCTTGGCTACTTGTAGACTCTCTGCTTCCATAGCACTATCGTGAAGGTGCTCGACGAGCCGGTTGTATTCTTCGTCGATGTTGTCGACACCGGAATCTTCCCATTCACTCGCAAGGGAAGCGAAGTGGTCCCAGTTGATGGAGGTCTTGGGGCTTCGTTTCCGAAACTTCATAGCTCTCTCCCCACGCACTGAGAAGCAGAACCTAGCGCGGAGGAGACGATGGTCCGATCCCGTGTAGAACTTCGGAACAACTGCGACGTCGGTCAGGCAAAATTGAAGATGATGATTGAAGATGATGTGGTCTGTTTCATCATGGAACTGCCCACCAGGTGACTCCCATGTCCATCTTAAATGAGAGGGCTTCTGGAACTGCGAGTTACCATGGATGGTGTGGGTCGTCATGATAAACTCGGACAGCCTTTCACCCTGCTCATTCCATCCCACTCCGTGAGTCCCGATGTGAAGCTCTTCAGTTGTTCTTTGGGGCCAATCTTGGCGTTAAAATCACCGATGATGACCTTGAAAAAAGTGTGGTCCTCTCTGTAGAGCCTCTCCAGATCCATATAAAACGCTTCCAACTCCTCTTCTTCGTAGCTTGATGTTGGTGCGTAAGCAACGAAGATGGTTAGAGCTGGGATTGAGCCGCATCTTCTTAATCGCAAACGTCCGATTCGGGTTGTTAAGCTTTCGCACGAATCGATGTTCATGGCCAAGTGCGTATTGACGAGGACACCTACGCCGCCGACGCCTCTACTGTCGCATGTTCCAAGGAACAGTTCTTCTCCAGTCTCAAATACAGCGTGCAGCGGGCGATGCCTTCTCGTCTCGGTCAGTCCGCTGACGTCGTACTTGATCTTCCTAGCTTGCATCATCAGGTCTTCTATACGCGCTTCCGATGCAAGCGTCCGTGCGTTGAAAGTACAGATTGCAATCTTAGTTCTTCTCCTATTGGGCAGCCTGTTTTGACCCTGAGATTTAGCAGCCTCTCCCGAGCGGTCCTACCCTTCAGGGGAATGAGGCCCATTTCTATTACTGTTTTTGGCGTGAAGATACCCAACGTGCAGCTTGCCAGGCTCTGACGTGGGGGCTATTGACTCCGGGGGCTTGCCAGCCTATCCCGAAGTGGACAAGGGGCTTTCTTTTTGGAGGCGGCCCCGAATCGCCTCCCAGATAGTTCTCAGTGTGACTTGATCGTCACTCGAATGCAAGCTTTTGGCCGAGTCGATGGACAGGATACCAACTGGACCCACAGACTCTCCACACACGTATGCGTGGATCGCCTGCGAGGAACAGAGGGTATATCAACCCAGCACAGCAGGATCAAGGAGTCCATCCCCTGAATCCACCTGCGTCTCTGGGCAAGTACCGGTGACTCTTAGTCGGCGATTAATTCCCCTATCCGCCACCTGGGGACGCCCTACGTAGCCTCGTCACTAATCGGCTGGATATCCTTCAGTGAGAGAGAACTCTAAGTGAAGGAGATCCGTAGATGAATATTGATACGCCGCGCAACTTGCGGCGTGCGTCTCTAGACACACCAATGTTCCGTAACCTCGAAAGAGCATGAAAAAAATTGTTCGAACAAACTGTCAGTCTTGTGCAAGTGCGTGAACAGCTGGCCCAGTAATCCAAAAATGCCAAAGGCACTTTGCACGGTTGCCATGATTCGCGACTATGTACACTCGAAATTTTGGTCCATTCATGTTGTTATTCTCTACTACTGTTGCATTTTTGTCTATGTTATCGTTATTCTTTTTCATGCTGCCTACAGTTGCTTCTGTGATGCCACTTTTGCCACATGAGCTGTGTTTTAACGGCCTTGAAGAAGCTGCACCATTCACAAGCAGATATGTTTAAAATCAAACAGTTGATCACGGAAACAACCTCTAGCAGCACGAAAAAAAGAATAATAATAACAACGACAAGATTACAAAAATAATAACAACATGAAGGGACCAAAATTTTTAATGTACACAGCCGCGTCTCATGGCAACTGAGCCAGCTGTTCACGTACTTGCACACAACTGAAATTCTGCTCGAACACTTTTTTCACGCTCTTTCGTTCGATTTTTGCGCCTTCTCTGCCACCGTTGCACTGTTCTGCACCATCTCTTCCATTATTCTAGGCCGTTTTTGGCCTGGCGCTGCACCTATGGCGTTTTTGGGGGCTACGATTTCCTTTAGAGGGGAATCTCGAAAATCGTTTTTATCGTGAATTGTGCTTTTCAGACGATTAGCCTCGTTACTTCTCGCTAGGATGAAAAGCTCGAGGTCACCGTTTCCTTTAGTCTAAACGCATGTAGCAATCGGTTTACTCTTAATTGCTTATGTACGAAAACAATTCAAGTTCAGCAGTAAACTGCGGAGCAGGTGTACAAGTCGTTTTCCTCACTCTTCCACACTAGACTCCTACCACATTATCGTACTCATGCAGTGACAAGCCTGATTGAACTGAGCGCCCTTAGTTCTCCCTCAGTATTTCGGAGTTCACCTCTAGCTACTAAACTGCTATTGCTATGAAATCAATGTAATGGTAATGTGATGGAGGGGCACTTTCTGGCCTCTTATTCATTAGTCTCATTGTTTTCCTTCAGCTCTCTTTGGCTGGAAACCACTACCAAGGTCAATTCCCCCTGAATTCATTCGCTACCTCAGTGAAACGACTGAGCATCGATCGATTCGACATAAGAGGGCACATATCATTCAAAACAATTCCTCAGGTTTGTAATTCATTGCGTATTTGTTGCATTTCGAAGGAAAGGGTTTGCTTATTTACCCCAATCCTCCAATCAACATCTTTCCACACTCCGCCTTTCTTACCATTAGCTCTTTGGTTTGTCAGGAGCATCAGGCACTTAGGTGACCAGTGGTTGGGCCGCAATCACTATAAACAGGGAGATCTTGCTTGTGCAAAACCAGTCTACGCTTCGAGATCACTTCTTTTGGCGGTCAATATTGCCCTCTGTAATCAAGATAATTTAAGGCCGTGCTCTGCGAAAAAGTTCAGCAACTTCTAATGATGCAGCAGACGTAACATTCGTGAGCTGTAGACTTGAATTTCCTTTTGATTTAACTTGTTTTTACGAACACAATTTCAGCCGCTATCTCCAGGGTCCCAGCGAAAGTCGGTCGAAAACGAACCGAAGTTCGTTCAGCTGGGTTTTACGGAAACGGTCTAGGAAGGAGAGTCGTTCCATCAATCATACCGTTAACAACAGCAACTATGCGATAACAATGAAGGATCATATTTGCTCTCACACTGTAAATCAATATTGTTACAAAGAAGACCAGTTAAAACGGAAGTAAACGATGCATGCAACAATGAAGGCATAGCAGTTAACATTCGGAGGAACAAATTAGAGGCCCTCTAATGTACTTTCTCTGTTTTGCAACATATACGGGAGAAGGCGGAATCAATGTAAGCTCTCTCCATTGGGCTACAGTTTCGGCAAAATTACTGTTGCACCTTAAACACACCCACAATACGACTGCTACCGGGATAGAAACAAGTGTTGATGTGGAGTGTAGGTGAAATATGCAGCAGAAATCACTCGACAACACAGCGTATCAAGGCACCGCTACAGCAAGACGCTACTCGTAACAGCTGCTAGTCGTCTGAGATCAATCTAGGATCTTCCGTTCACTTGAATTGCGCTGAGCACCCGAGATTCCGTATTATTCTCCTTCTTACTAAACCCTTCATCTGACCCGCAAGTGGCGAACTATCTGTTTTGTTGGTTTTGGGAGCGTTCTGCTTTCACCTTCAACTTAAAATGTGCTCCACACCTTCCTAAAAATTTAGCTAAGGAATGACATGGTTGTTTGAACTTCCATAATTTCTTCTCTTCAATACGGTCTATTTGTTGTAAGACCCTTCGTTTCCTCCTCATCACAGTATATGAATAAATAATGCCCTATTGCTGAGGAAAAGCGGGAGACTCAAATAAGTTGTGCGCCACAAAATACGATAGTTGATGGCATAGTCAATGCAATGACAGCTCCCAGCATCCTAATCTTATCACTAGCTTAGAAGATAACGAAGCCAGATCTCGTCTCACAAGCTGGGCGGAGTAGAAAGCAAATAACACTTTCTACTCTTGCCTGTTAAGTGGAACAAGAAAAAACGGTAGTTTCTTTCCAGCAGTGAACACTTTTACTAAAGAAAATGGTTCGATCAATACGCTACGCAATTATTTATGCAATGATGGCAACGTACAATTTCATGAATTTTCGTCACGAGTAGTGCCTTTTACGTGCATCTTTCATTTTACCAAAAGTATTATCTGGAGCAGTAGCTCAAATTTGTAGCATACAGGTCAGGTCCACTACAAAGAAAGCAATGACACACCTGATTTCAAGGACGTTTGCGCTCGGTATTCCTTCTACAAAGATCTCTCCAAATTTAGGCCGTTTCATGTGTCTATGTACTTCCGGACTTCATTAATAACTTATTCGAAAATAGAGCCAATAAGACAATTCACTGAGAATCTGTAGTCAATTGTTGATCCTTTTTCAGACCTAGCTCCAGTTGTGGCACACTTGCTGACAGACTTTCATGGATTCCAGAGCCGAGATTGCGCCTCATATCCATGATCTAACTTTCAGTCGCTTATTGTAAAAAACTGAGAGCTGTTATTGTGAATCGGCGGAGGAACAACACCCAATAAATTTTACTGTTAAAATACTTCAAAGTTGACCTGTCAGCGTGGACGTACTACCCTGCTGGAATACTAGCTTCGGCTGTCGCCATTGGTCATGAATGGTAGTAAATTAAACTCAAGAACTTCTCGATTCTCGCGAATCTATTCGACGAGGAAGCTTTCGGACTAAACAGTAAGCTCACCAATTGATGAACGAACCTCCGCTGAATGTACGAAGCCTAAACCGCAATGGTTGTTCTCTCAGATCTCGCCAGTAGCATTGACAGCCATCAAGCCCATCCAAGCTGAACTTCTTCTCGTTGAAAAAAAATACCTTTACACAAGATATCCCTCTACACATAAAGGCTTAGCTAATTTTACAACATCGAGTGCTTCCCATCCGTCGAAATATGTCTTCGGGCATAGTGGAGACGGGTCGATCTCTGGACGTGTGTTCTCCTGATAGATTCTCACACAATGTTGCCGTTGCGTTTGATAGCTCTCCAGACCATCAATTTCAAAACAGGCAGCCCCAAGCCTACGCTGATACTGCTGCTTTTGAAAACTTGCGTCCAAACTAGTCGTTCTTTTCTTGCGCACAGCCTTCCACTTCGCTCATCTTTCAGTGAATCCAACGGTATTTTGAGTATCAGGATGTTAGAGGTAGTAGCAGACAACACAGTGGCTCCTGCCGAGTTGGTTTGCGTTCTGACGGCTACTGACTTCGGTATCGTGTATAGCCCTTATTTCCATATCGGGTCAAATTATGTACTCGGCTTGAAACAGAAGAAAGTTTTCAGACCCTCCATTGGGGATGGAAGTATGAAGTGAAACACTCGAAAGTCGAAGAGTACTTGTTTTGAGAAAATTCGAATAGGTCACGATTTGAAAACAAGGATATCATTGTTTTCTTTTATAGCGAATCTGATAGTGCATAGAGACGGCGCATTAAGTAAGGTTTTGGTACAACAATGAGTGACGTGTAGCAGTGAAGCGCACTGCATTTCAAATTATTGTAGTGGCGACGCACAGATTATTCATAACAAGCCAGTCGGAAACATAACAAAACATACGATCAAAAAGTGGAGTGGTGGTTCGAAACATACTATCTGGTCTTCAGTTATGAATACCATTTATACATGATATGCGACGAATACAGTGCGTTTCATAATTATAAGGTCACCCTCAAATTTTGCACTTTCAAGAAAAGCAATCATTAAGGATTTTTTCTAGCATCATGAACGGATTCCCCAGCACGAATAACCTAGGTATCCGTTTTCTAGTTGCAGCTGCATTTTTCTGAACTTTTTTAGAACAGTTTATCGGTTTTTGCACCGTTTCATAATTATAAGGTCACCCCGAGAAAGTGAACAATTATTAACGAAAGAGAGGAAATTTCGTGTTTGAAGATACTTCTAAAGGTAAGCATGTGTAGCAAAGGCATTTCTAAACCTGACTGTCAACATGGCTCGTGGTCAACTGCTTTCCTCTGATGAGAAGGCTCATCATGAAGGTGGGCTCCGTACTCGAGCCATTTCCAGGCGAATAGAGAGATCCCCTTGGTCCATTCGGAGATTTCTGGAGAGCCCTCATGTAGTTAGATATAACACCGACTGTGGACACCCA